TGTGGGATCCGAACCCTCGGCAGGAGCGCCGCCACGCTCCCAAGCGGCGCACTGTAGCAGTACGCCACCGGGCCGGCCCTAAAGGTACTTTTTAATGGAAAAAGTGTCCTGAAATTTATTGGGCAGCCCAATAAACACAAGTCACTTACACTCAGAGTGTCTGTGCCTAGACACATACAAGGAGACACAATTCTGCCTGTCTATACATCGATCCCTGTATCCATTCAGTATTAAGCGCCTACTATACGCCATACCCTGAGCCTGTCCCTGAGGATACAGGATTTCTGCCCTGCTGGGCTCACAGACTATTTTGAGGAAGGTGGGTAAACAGTAAATTTAACTCTATGTGAGAGAAGTAAGTGCATAGTGTCATGGAGACACAGCAGTACCTAACCTGGCAGGAGCGCCGCCGCGCTCCCAAGCGGCGCACTGTAGCAGTACGCCACCGGGCCAGCCCTAAAGGTACTTTTTAATGGAAAAAGTGTCCTGAAATTTATTGGGCAGCCCAATAAACACAAGTCACTTACACTCAGAGTGTCTGTGCCTAGACACATACAAGGAGACACAATTCTGCCTGTCTATACATCGATCCCTGTATCCATTCAGTATTAAGCGCCTACTATACGCCATACCCTGAGCCTGTCCCTGAGGATACAGGATTTCTGCCCTGCTGGGCTCACAGACGATTTTGAGGAAGGTGGGTAAACAGTAAATTTAACTCTATGTGAGAGAAGTAAGTGCATAGTGTCATGGAGACACAGCAGTACTTACGCCATACCCTGAGCCTGTCCCTGAGGATACAGGATTTCTGCCCTGCTGGGCTCACAGACTATTTTGAGGAAGGTGGGTAAACAGTAAATTTAACTCTATGTGAGAGAAGTAAGTGCATAGTGTCATGGAGACACAGCAGTACCTAACCTGCCTAGGAGAGATAGGAACACTTCCTGGAAGAGAAGACATCTGAATGAGTTTGTAAGTAGGAGTAAAGCAAGTGAATAGGGAACATCAGAAGAATAATATTTTGTGACATGTGAAAATTGTATGAAGTTTAAATTTGTGCCCATGAATAAAGTTTTATTGGAACACAGCCATGCTTATTTACTTACATACTGTCTTTTGAGCTACCACAGCACAGGTGAGTTGTTGCAACAGAGACTGTATAGCCTGTTAAACTTAAAATTTTTATTATCTGGCCCATTACAGAAAAAGTTTGCTGACCCCTGCTCTAAACCTTACAAACTAAGGTAAATACTCTCAATACCATTTCTCAGTGAGAAAATCAAGGTTTGCCCAAGACTACAGAGCTGGGGAAGCCTGGAGCCGAGACTGGGATTGGAACCCAGGGAGGCTGCATTTGTATCACAAATTACCTTCTGCCATAACACATACATCTCAGAAGTTTCTCTTACTCTCCACACACATACACCCAGATGTACAGGAGCAGGGACTGGGTGGGGTACAGTCCCCAGGGAGGAGCAGGGGTGATGGCAGGGAAGGCCCAGGATCTTACCTTCCAGAAAATCCAGAAGCCATTGAGCCAGCCGAGGAGAACCTCACAGATAAGGATGGTCAGCACAATGTCATCTATGGTAGAGAACAACTCATAGTGTTTCTACACGGAAGACAGAGAAAAAGAGAGAGATGGAGAGGTCAGTGGAGCAGGGCCTGGGCAAGGCCAGGTCTGTGGGGGAAGGAAGGCCCATATTATTCCTGCTCTTTTTTAAAAAAAAAAATTTTAATTTATCAATATACAATGTAGTTCATTTTCGTGTCCCTTTACCAATTCCTCCTTTTCCTCCCTCCCTGTCCCCCTCCCCTCTTACTGCTGCTCTTCATCCTCGGCAACGTGTGGCTCCCTTCAGAGCACACTGCCCATGTACTTGCCAGGCACCGTGCTAAGACCATTCACACATCGCTTCGGGTCACCATCACCACTGCCCTGCAAAGTAGGTTTTACTCCCATCTTACAGATGAGGAATCAGAGAGGTGCCCATGCGCACACAAGCTAGTGGATTAAGATTGTTGTTTGACTACAAACCTTTTCCTCTAACCTCTAGAGTAGGGATATTTGGAAAGGTGGGTAGGGGAGATGCCAAACAGACTCCAGGATTGGGAAGAAAAGGCCTGGCCCCTTGGCATGGAGGACTCCAAGCCTCATCCATCCTTCTCTGTCCCAACCACTCTTGCTGCTCCAGCTTCCCAAGTCCCCCAGGTTAGGCTTGACCACACTCCTAGGTATCCTCCCACTCGGGGGTCTGGGACATGTACACTGGATGGTTGAACTGGTGGATGGATGACTAGGGTCTGTCCAAAACCCAACTTACTTTTGCCCAACCTCGATCCTACTCCTCGACTTCTTATAGCTGTGAACCACTAATAGCCCTCAGCCCCTGACTCCACCCTGGTGGTCACTAAAGTTACCTTATCCCCTCCTTTCTGTACCCCAGTGGCTGACAGACTCAGTGCCTCCAGGATCGCTGTCACACATGGGGACCTCCTGCTGCCCACCCCCCGCCAACAACACCATCCATTGGCGGGTGCCGGGCTGGGCAGAGCTTCTAAACCCAGATGGGAGGTTAAGGTTTATGGAGTCCCTGCCTGCTCCAAATTCCACAAGGGCGGTCATGGACCTTGGATGTGTGTCTACAATGAGGAAGAGCTTCATTGCCCTCAACTGTCCCCTCAGCTGTCCCCACCCTCCTGGCCACTGGAGGTGATATGCCCTCCTCACTATTGATCAAAAGGACTTTCTATAGTCCTCCTGCCTTCTCCAAATCATGAGCATCTATAGCTAAATCAGAGTTGCCTTCCCTACCCACAAGCCTTCCACAGCTCCTGGTGGCCTGCAGGATAAAGTTCAAAACCAGTCTGGCATTCACAGGCCTCTAAATCTGACCTTTGCAGACATTTATCCTATACCAGGGTTTCAGCATTTTTGCTGAACCCACAGTAAGAAATATATTTTACATCATAACCCTGTTTCTCTTTTTATCTCTCCTTTCCTCTTCCTCTCTCGCACATAGACCATTGTATTTCATTCTTTTCCATTCTATATCAGCATGCTGGCATCCGCACTCAGTTCGTCTACACACGAACCGAGTTCATGATCCATTAATGGGTTGTGATCTGCCCTCCACTCTACTCACTCTGCAAACGTTTGCAACTGGGCTCCTGCCTGCACCGCATGTGAGACAGCTCTTGTCTGGGTCACGAGAACTAACCCTGAAGGAATCTTCCTAGTCCTTATCTTGCCGCATCTCTCCACCACATCTGGACCTGTTTTCTGCTCCCTTGATCACCACTCTCCTGGGTTCCTCCCACGCCACTGGCCACTGGCCACTCCTCCTCAGTCTCTCTTTCCACCCTCTCTTCCATCTCTGCCCTTTGTTTGCAGGCTCTCCCCAGGGCTCTGGCTTGGTCCTCTTCCCTCCTGACCCAGTGCTGTCCTCAGAAATCTCACCCACTCCTCCACTTACACTCTGGCAACTCTCACAGCTCCATCTCCACCCACGCCCTCCACAGTGTTTCAGATCTGACCTCCAACTCCTCTTGAGACATCTAAGTGTGGATATTGCATGGGCACCTCCAACATCACATACCCCAAACCTTTCTTAGCATCCTCCCCAAACCTGCTGTTCCTCCCATGTCCCCACGACCCAACACACAGCACCATCCCCCACATGGCACCCAAGCCAGGAACTCAATTCCTCACTCTCCCCTTCTGCCGTGGATTGATTGAATTGTGTGTTCCTCAAAGTCCATATATTAGAAGCTTAATTCCCAATGTAACTGTTGAGGGTGGGAAATCCTATAATGGTAATCGAAAGGTGGGGCCTTGAAGAGGTGATTAGACTGCAGGACCATGCCATAGCGAATGCATTAACATCGGTGGCCAGGGGTGTGGATCTGAGGGCTTTAAAAGAAGGGCGCATGAGAAGCTCTCTCTCTCTGCTTCCACCATCTTGCAATGTGAGACCCCTGGGTCAGTGTCGCCACCACCAGACATGTTCCTTGGTCTTTGGACTTCCCAGCCTCAGAAACGGTAAGCAATAAATTTTGTTTTCTTTATAAATCACCCAGTTTCAGGTATTTATATTATAACGCCTTCTCTACATGCATGAGGTGGTGACATGTTAAACACGGTAGCTCGTAGCCAAAGCTTATTAAATGTTAGCTATAAAGAAAATTTGCCAGGAAGGCCCATGGATTCGACTCCTAGAGAGCTTCCAAATGCATCTGACCTTCACCCACTGCCATTGTCCTGGTCCAAGTCCATCATCTTTCACCTGAGCATCTGCAACAGGGTCCTGCCTGGCCCATCTTCCCCCATTCTTGGGCCCCCTCCCTTCCATGGTCTACACTGTGGCAGCCAGTGTAAGTTTTCTAAAATATATGTCTGGTCACTTCCTGGTTTTCTGCTGACACAGGATGAAGGCATCCTCCTTAACGTAACTTAAAGACCCTGTGTGATCTGGCCTCTGACCACCTCTCTGAACTCATCTGCCACCACCACGCTGGACATTTAAAAAATAGTGATTTTAGGGCTGGCCAGTTAGCTCACTTGGTTAGAGAGCAGCCTTATAACACCAAGGTCATGAGTTTGGATCCATGTACTGGCCAGCCACCAAAAAAATTAAATAATAAATAAATAGTATTTTTTTTTTTTTTTTAAAGATGACCGGTAAGGGGATCTTAACCCTTGACTTGGTGTTATCAGCACCACGCTCACCCAGTGAGCCACGGGCCGGCCCTAATAATATTGACTTTAAGAAGTGTAATACATGTACATATACTCCCTGTAAGAAATTAAAACCTCAGGGATAAGACCATAGTCATGCTGGACTTCAAGCTGAACACACAGAACCGTCTCACATGCTGTTTCTTCCGCCCCTAACACTCTTCCCCACCTCTCTTCGCCTGGCCAACTCCTACTCATTCTCTACTCTCAGCTTAAGTGCCACTTTGTCCAGGAAGCCTTCCCTGATCTCCCAGATTAGGTTCGATTGCCTTCTCTGACCTCCTACGTATTCTGTGTGCCTCTCAGGCCTCTGTAATGACACATTTATGTCTGAGGCAGGAACTGGGTCTGCCATGCTTATGCCTGGAACCCTGGCACTGACTGTGACCAGACGGATCCTCCCTTAAGTGATTATTGGTTAGAATTGGACTCCCTCCCCCATAAGGTGCCCATTTGCCTGTCTCTACTCACCCCTGTCTTCTCCTGCCTTTCTACAGATCCAATGCATTCCTCAAACCCAGGCTCCAGAGCCCCCTCGACCATGAAGTCTGCCTTGATCTCCGGATCCCTGGAGGGTCAAAGCTGACAGGCCCTTGGAAAGCATCCAATCCAACCATCACAGACAGACAAGGAGCCTACAGGCCCAAGAGGGAAGCGCCTTGCCCCAGGCCCCCCAGCTAGCGTCCCACCTGGTCAAGGACGGAGTTGGTGCGGAGGGCGATGGTGATGGCGTTGACCACCAGCAGCACGGCCAGCAACATCTGGAAGGCCGGGTGTCGTAACAGCTGCTTGATATACATGCGAGTGATGAACTCCTGCATGTCCCAGGCATCCTGCAAGAGGGCAGGGACCTTCCTTCAGGCAGGTGTCACCACAGGAGGCCTCTACCTGGATGTTTGCTTTCAGTGAATGGGGATCCCTGGAGGTCCACTCTAGAGGGCAAAATTGCCTGAGAGGGGATCAAAGAAATAGGGGCCTCAATGTAGAGGCTGCTACCTACATGGCCACTATGAAAGTGGGTCACTGTTGGGGAATCTTTGTGGGGGTCATTGCAAGAGCATATTTTTGGGGGTCTTTGCTGGTGATGACTGTCATAGCAGAGGGATTTCTGTGGGGTGCACTGCCAGGCAATTCCTAACATATCATGGGGTGTCACTGCAGGGATCACTACTGGGGAGGGTCCTCTGGGGGGACGTTTAGAGGGCAGAGGGAGGTAGAGTTACCCTGAAGGCCCGATGCCCACAGAGCAAGGGTCGCTGTAGGCCCTGTAGCCCCAGCCTCGTGCTTACCTTTTTGCTAGTGATGTCCCGGCGGTTGATGAGCACATGTTCCTCTGGCCTGTAGGGCTCTTGCGTGTTCTTCTGCAGGGAAGAGGAGTGGCCTCAGTGCAGCTACTACCCCTCCTGCGCCCCGCCCCACCCAGGATGCCAGCTTGGGTGGTGGAGCCAGGCAGGGGCCACACACCAGCAGCTTCAGATGTTTGACATTGGCCGTGTCTGTCCATTGCTGCCACCAGGCCTTTTGGTTATCGGTCATAGTTGCTCAGTCTCCTCTTCAAAGCAAATGTATTGCAAGCGGTCTCGCTCCCCCTCGTGGCGATATAACAGAAGCCTCTGTGACCTCCAGCCTTCCACATTCCACCAAAAGAATTCCAACTCTGAGAGAAGCTCCTCCCACTACCCCTGCCCCCACCCCCCATATCCCACAGAGGAAGCCAGGGATGCTGTGGGATGCTGGGCCAGGGTCAGAGGTCAGAGGCCAAGGGGAACAGGTCAGGTCTCCTAGCAGCCTGGATGGAATAACAGGGACATACCCCTGCTCTGGGTCCAGGAGTGGGACGTGAAGCTGGCCTGAGGTGAGCAGAGGAGAGAAGTGTCTTGCCCCAGGACAGACCTCAACTTGCACCCCTCCACATCAGCCACCCCATCCCACCACCCCAATCTCCAGGGATGGCCATCCTGCCCTTCCGTGCAAAGTATGTTTCTCTACCTACAAAGTAAAAGTTTCTCACTTTGTCCCCCTGGGGATGGGGTAGGAGAGCAACTCTGGCCTCTGGGGGCTGGGGAGACAGGGACATTAATGAGAGCCCTCACTAGCCATGGGTCAGCAGTCCACCAATCTGGCAGGCATCGTACCCTAGTGAAGAGCCCAGGACATCAGGCCATGTAGGGGGCTAGTCACCCACACCATGGCCGAGAGCACTCACCCCAGTCTAAAGCTTTCCATCCCAGGCCCCTCTGGGGGACAGACTCCTGACTCTATATGGAAATAAAGGCACACTTAGATTCATTTTAGAGAAATGGATTTTATTTGGTTGAGAAGTATTTCTCATGTAAAATGAAGGACACCTGTACAGACCTGATTGGCGGAAGGGAAAACTGCAGAGGGACTGAGGTGGGCAGGGCTGTGCCACTGCAGATCTGAGGGTGAGGTGGGAGAATTTCTTCTTCAGGAAGGGAGGAGAGGGTGGCACTAGGCTCATATCACTTTACCCCACTCCAGAGGGGACAGGAGCAGAAATGGTGGAAGCAGAGGGCTCAGCTTGAGGTGAAACCATGAGCTAGCACTACTTTCAACCCAGACAGAAGCCAGGCATGTGATGTCCTAGACATGTCAGAGGCTGGGCTTGAGGTGGTCCTAGGGCCAGAGCCAGAGCTAGGGTACTGGCCAGGGTCAGAGGTTAGGAGGTCAGAGGTTGCTCTCTGGGGTGAGGGGGCAGAGATGGGAGTGCTCCGCAGGGTCAGAGGGCAGGAAGTGGGAGGACTGTTCTCTGGAGTCTGAGGTCAGGACTTGGGAGCTGCCCTCAGCCTGCACCACGCCCCAGGCCCCCAGGCCCTCTGAGTACAGCTCCTGGTTCCGCTCCTTCCACCTGCGGAATTTCTCTCCAGTCAGCTCGGAGTCGCCTAGCACCTCCTCCAGGGCCTGAAGCTCCTGCAGCTTTGCCTGTGAGTGAGTAGCAGCTAAGGGGCCCTGATCACCCAGGGAGGGGGCAGAGCCCGAGCCCAGAGCTCACTCTGGAGTCCAGTGCCTAGAAGATAGCACCTGGCCAGCCTGGCACAAGAAGACTGGGTGAGACTTCAAGTCCCAACTCGGAACCTAGAACTTGGCCCAGTCCACAGCTGAGCTCCAGACTGGAGCATGGAGCTCAGAGCTGAGCCCCCAAGTCAGAAAGCCAGAACCCAGAGCTGCACCCGGAGGCCAGAGCTGAACCTGAAGCCTGGAGCTCAGGATGGAGCTGAGAGCCACAAACCAAAGCCTAAAGCCCAGAGCCCAGCCCCCTGCAATGCCCAGTGCCCCCCAGCTGACCTTGAGTGTGCTCTGTAGTGCCCGCACACGGTGCACCCGCTCATTGAGCTGGGGGTCTCGGTTGCGCCGCATGAAGGAGTTCCGCCACTGTTCGTGGGTCAGGGGTTGTGGCTGGCCCAGGAGGGACACGCC